AGCGCCTTAGTTCCTTAGCGGCAGGCAACCCCCATAACCATCCCAATAGTGCACTCTGCACTAAAAACGAACAGATATAAAGAGGGAAACTGAATTAAATCCACTAGAAGTCTTGGCAGCCGGGCTGGTTATAAAACTCATTTTACGATTTTATTTCTCCGTTTTACTGCTTACTTTTAGTTTCGATTGAGAAGATATATCAAACACTCAAGACAGTGTTTGAACACATTTTAAAACACCTCGAAGTTCGTCAAAAATACTCCGCTACTCGTCGTATTTTCAACGCTCTTCTCAGTGTTTCAAAATGCGATCAAACACGGTCTTTCGGGTTTGATACATTTCTCAAAGTACAAAACCCTTACCTTGATGATTGCTTCCACATCAACGAAACAGTCATCGTCTGTCTTCAGAGTAAAGTTAAACTGCGTATTCTTTACAGTCCTGACAAATCAATTTTTAAAAGAGTCGTTTGTTAAGAGAACAAACTTTAGAACAGCCACTATAGTCAAGCGTTCTAAACCTTCTCTAGCAAATTCCTTGCGTTCTGTTTGAGCTGGGATTACTTATCGGCTACTAACTTCATCAATTGGTAATGACAGAGTTGCCGCTCAAAGTTCAGGAAGTATTTACTGAAGGCATGAACAATGTAATAAGCCATGGCGTCTTCTCAAGAAGACAGGCGCTCGGAGAGTACAGCACTTCGGGGGCCGACCGCCGAGCCCTTCGCGTTCTCTCGCTCGTCTCGTTCTCTTTCGTCCACGAATGGACAGACGGACGGACAAGCCTGATAAGGTGCTAAAAAACGGGTGCGCCCAGCACGATAGTGTACACCATACGTCTCTGGTACTTTAAAAAGTTTATGCGCTTGTCCGTAGGACTACACCCCGCATAAGAGCGGTGAAGCCGCGATGTTCCTGCGGGTCACGATAAAAACCGAAAAAGCCTCTAGCACCCAGGGTAACCAGAGATGGAATTATTTTCTAAACGTCAAAGTTTCCTACCAGTTGTAAAATTTGAGCAGTTTTTTGGGAAGATTGCGGTAAACATCAACAACATCCACCATCAGTATGTCATCATGTGCCCGCAGCTCACGCTGTAGTTCTTGTTCTTCTCGTAACAGTACTCCGCGCCACATTTCCTTTCTCTCTTTCGCATGTTTCCTTCTTTCCTCTAACTTTTCTTTTGAGAAGTCACCATCTGCGACTGAAAAAGTTTAAAATAGGATCACNAGCTCATAATCTAATATTGTTTAATATATCATGATGTATATGTACATAACTCAGAAGCTTACCTTGGGCAGGACAAAGTGATCGACTGCCTTGAATCTGCTGCCCCCGACTAACTCTCCAGGGTCTTCTGGGGTGAAGTTAACACTCAAGACTTCTTTCTGCAAAATATAATTCCATCCAATAATTAAAAATGGTTAAATTACAATACTACACGACCATATCAATACACATGTGCAAAGGGTACCACTTTACTCTGACAACATGACCATTTTAACTTTCAAAGCAAGATTACATGTACATCGGACATCAGGGAGGTAGACAGAGAAAAATATGACTGAGGCAATGTCCATCTAGATAGTTAGGGCTTTTATGATGAATAGAAACAACAAAAATGAACAAAAAAAATAATGACTGAGGCAAGTGCCTCAGTTTGCCTCACACTGGCTACAGCCCTGAAAGTGTGCAGTACCATAGTGCTTTTGTATGTAGTGTGACGTGTGAATTAATATCGTTTTATTATTATCAATAATCTTTCTGTTATGTGCACATTCCATTTTGGGCACTCATATGATACAGTTATCTGTCTACCAACAACACAGTCATAATCAAATCACTTACTTGTGAAATCCTGTCATAAAGACGAGCTGTTAAGCCACCTCTAAATCCATCTGAATTGCTGTCAAATACTCCAAGCTGGGTAACAACAATGGGAAAATTCACCTTCAATTAAACAGAACCACGTCACTGTTAATTTCCAATGAATAGAGCACTGCAAAGGCTACCAATTAAG